TGGCAAATGGCAAATGGCAAACAGCAATAATTCAACCATGTGCATGACCAAGTGTTTCTGCTACTTTTTGTTTACATTTTCTTATATATATACACACATGAGTATAAGCCTCATGTCATGTTTATCCATGAGACTGGCTGTTTAATTCCTTATTTGAGAATTCGAAATAGTCAACTTTAATCTGGCATTTTCTGTTTGCCATAAATGTAATTCTAAATCTGTGCAATATATTGTGATGTTATACAAAATGCCTTGTTCATTCATAGTAACTCTGGCAGTAGTGTCCATTCAGCATGAAGATATGTGCTAAGTAAAGGTTTATTACCTTGTGGTTTGACTGTGTTCAAGTCATTTCATATTATTCAACTTGGAGAAATATTATTTTTATCTTATGAAAGGTGAAAACTTTAAGAAAATAATATTATAAACTGCATGTATATGTTGTGGTTTAAATTTTTCGTTGGTTTAAAATTTTTCAAAGCTGTTTAATTTTTGTTTTTCTTTGTCTCTGATTATGGTAATTGATTTTAGACAAAGGAAAGTAAAAATTAAACTGGTTTGAAAAATTTTAAACCAAGGAAAAATTTGAATCACAACATATATAACAACCATAACTCTTTTTTATTTGGTGAAACAAATGATTAATTTTTAAAATCTGCTCTAATTTGTTTTTGTTTTTCCCAAGGTGACAGAAAATCTAAAATTGTAGATGATGACAGTGATCGGGGAAGTGAAGCTAGCTCAGGAAGTAGGTCAAAGAAGAGTAATGGTAGAGCTAGCACTAAAAGTAAGGGAAGCAAAAAGAAAGCTGTTGAAATAGCTGATGAAGATAGTGATGCAAGCCAGGCCAGTGGAAAAAGCACCAAGAAGAAGCCTGCCAAAAATACTGGGAAGACAAAGAAGGAAAGGACTGTCGTCAAAAAGAAGAAGAAAGAAAGAAAGAAACAAAAGTACAGGTGAGAGATGTGAGTCTTTGTTGCAATTGTGATTCGAGGTTTGTGATTTCAGTAGATTTCCTTTTCCAGTAAAAAGATGTTTGTGATCAGCCAAAAAAGCCAATCCTGATAAGTACAAATGTACATATATCTACAAAAGAATTTTAATGACACCAAAATCGAATTTAACTACTTTTTTCAATAATGTTAAAATGTTGCAAATTGAAAAATATGGAAAATTAAAAATTAACAAGCTTTTGAAGCACTTAAAAAGTCAAGTGGTGTATGCGCTTAAACCACTAAGTGGTTTAAGTGGACACACCACTGTCTTGATGTCTGTTGATGTCACATGTCCTGTGTCATCAAGTTCCAACATACAGCTTCATTGTAGACAACTTTTGCACCTTGCCTCTGTAGAATCTGTCAAATGGTACCTGAATAAGCACAATTTACTCAATCAGGATTTTAAAAAATGCTAAATACCATATTAAGTTGACTATAAAAGTTTATCAAGGCTGTGCTCTAAGAGAATTTGAAGGGACCCCAGTGCTCTTGAAATTGTGAAGTCCGAGGTGTCCAGCATATGCTTTTTATGGAAAAAAACCAAGATTCCCTATTTACCCAGGAGGAAAAATAGGGCGCTAGGCAGGGGCCACTGGGTGATTCCAGAGCACTTCCTTTTTCTATAACTCATGATCCTCCAAGAATTGTGGCTCCAACTTTCTACTAGTCCAAAAGCATTTTGTACTAGTGAAGCTGTGGACTATTGCTAAGGTTGAGAACTGTTTAGGTGGATTTTTTTATTTTAATTATTCATTTATGAGTGTGATGAATCTAACATGTTGGTTTTACATTGGTTTGTAGGAAATGATGAAGATAATGTCATGGGTGTGGTAAGTCATGATCACTTGGCAAACTATTTTAAAAGTATACTTCAATCTTTATTAGGAAGCTTAACACGGTGTAGACAGCAGTGAACATTTCACTTTAAAATGAATTTTTGTTCTTTCAAACTCTATTGCTTTCATTTATTTAGCCTCTCTCATTTTGTCAAATGTGTATTTATCTTCAAAAAGAAAAAGAAACAATATTATTGTTGTCATGTGTTCCCATCCTCTATTAAATGTCTCATTAGGAAGTTTTGCACTGTTATTGTGCAGTGGACATCAAGGAAATAACTAGCCTGCATAGCTGGTGGTATTGTGTGGGTGCAAGATTAAAGTTTTGGCGGCGGAGCCGTGTTCCAAAAAAAGGGAGCAGGGACGAGGCGGTTGAAATACTGCCTGCCAGAAAACCCCGGTATTTTGAATAGTCCACACACTAGGGTGCGGAGAAACGGATTGGTCGAGGGCCGTACATATGTCAATCATGTTAGATGATCCTTCACATATATTTCCCAATTAAGGGAGCAGATGGCAAACTGGAAAAGACGTAAGTGATTGTGGTTTCCCCTTTAAAAAGAGCATAATTGATGACCAAATTGCTGAAATGGCGTGTTTATAAACTTCACAGCACTGGAATTGTCTTTATTTAGCCGTAAGAAACAAAGGTCAAAGAAAATTAAAACACTTTTACAACTGCATCTGAGACCAAATCCTATCAAGAACACCTACAGAAGAATAAACCACAGGAAATGGTAACAAACCAGCTTCATGACCTTTTAATGTTAAGCCTAGCTTGGCAAAAAGATATTTACTCAGTCAAAGTTTAGAATGATACATGTACTGTGTAGTGCTAGTAACCTTCGCGTGAGAGCCGAGAAAATAAAAAAAACTTCTGTTCAAGCAAACTCACGAGGTCACGTTTCACATTATCACGAGCTTAGGAGTCGTGTTTAGCCTGTCAACACTTATTTCTAAACTGTCTTGCGTGAAAATAATCGGCTGATTTAAATGGGATCAGCTAAGGTGACAAAAATGGGCGGCATTCGAAAAATCATGGTTCTCTGGCAGGCGGTATTTCTCGCGGCTTTGCCGTTCGTGACGGCTCCGCGGTCAAATCTCACTCGACTATATCACAACAGCTCGGCCGCCAAATCTCACTCGACTACTACACAATACCGCCAGCTACGCAGGCTAGGAAATAACCAAAATGCATGATGCACGCACAGAGTATAGCCTGTGTACAGACGTCCCCTCTGCCTCAGACAAAATCGGGAGAAGAGACGTCTGTGAATTGCCGATGATAATTGTGTTCCTGTTTCCCTGGAATGTTGGGGACAGCCTCTGATTGGTTATAATGTTAATTATGCCGTGATGCAAATAGTTTCCAGTGTTGTGATTGGTGAATGAATCTCAGAATAGATTCCCCGGGGAAAACCTTAGCCTTTGTGGACAGTTTACCACATTTATATTTGTTTACTTGTATTTCGGCTCTCTGGAATGGGCATGCGAAATTATAGCCTGTTCCAGGCGTTCAGATAGTGGGGAGCGGTGCGAAGTAAAAAGGAGCGCGAAAAAATAAAAGCGAGGGAGGAGGAGAGGTGAGAGAGGGAACGCCTGTTAGATTTGTTTTAAATAGACTCTTCCGCCCAGTCAGACCTCATCAGCTGTAGGTGGTCTTCACTTGTCAATCAAGACTGGTGTTATAACCCGATGCAATTATTATTTTCTTGCGAATAAATCGAAGTTTGTCAGATCAAAAATTAATATTATGTTTACGTAATCTTACTAAAAACCCAATGTAAGACTTTCAGACAATAGAAGACGGGAGAAGTATTCATGTATAATGAACTTATTTAGGGCTTTAAAACATGATTTCAGCGTGTACGTGACAAAAAATTATGAATCAAGTGACAAACAAATATCGATCATTTCGATAGAAAGCCGTTTCAATACAGATCGTTAACTCAAGCAATGAAAATGCACAACAATTGAAGGGAAAATTTACTATTCGGTGATTGAGTGGACCTCGTCAATAGCGATAGCTGTAACTTGCTTTCCAAGCTTTCCTTTTTGAAGTCCTTTTGTCCATTCATTAGACAACCACGATTTGGCACTTCAGTAAACAATTTCACAGCTTCCACTTTTAACGGCTTCATCCATATCTCCTCCCATCATTGCCGCCGCTACTCCGATTTTGTTGAAATATTCCACTTGGTCTTCCATGATGGTAATCAACGGAGTTACCACAACAATCGTAAATGGCATTCTATCCTTTCTTCATTCCAACGCACGCTTATTTAGAGGAAAAAGCTGGAAAATAAGAACTTTTCCAAAGCCAGTCGGTGAGAAATTGCTAAGATATCTATCCTACCGACTGCGTGTTTTAAACAGTTTCTTTGCTGTTCGATTTTAACCTCCACGTTAGGAAAGTCACTCAGCCTGTGTTTGTTGCGAGTTTGAATTCTGCGTGACGGCACGTAGAGTCTGTCATAACGGCCATATCGCATGTCTCGCTGTGATCGAAGACGCTCCACTGTTGACAAAAACTGTCAAAACCAACCAATCAGAGGGTATACCAGGATCTGGTATACCGGAACGCACTTTTGTTAAAAATTCTTACAAGCGTTCCCGCACCTCTCTCCCCAGTCCCCCTCTACTTTTCATCGCTTTCTTTACTCCGCACCGCTCTCCACTATCTGAACGCTTGGAACAGGCTAGCGAAATTAAGACCACTGATGTTTGCTGCATCAGTTGCGGGTGCGTCTGTCTTTGCCAGATGGTATTGTAAAAAAAAAGGGATTAGGACGTACAGAATTCAACTCTTAATCAGGGATCTTATATCTGGATTTTAGCATGGACATTGTGTGAAGCTGTTCGGCTAGCCTGAGTACAGACCCCAGGGCTATTTTTTGGCCTTTACTGTACATGTGCTGATCATGATTCGTAGAAAATAAAGGCAAAAGTAACAATCCTTACGTGGAACCTACTTGAAATCATCGAATGGATCAACTCCTGCATAAAATGCTTGACTGGAAATGGAAACAGTACTTTTGAGATAAAACTTCTTTCAAACCAAAAACCACAGGAAATCGATGCACAGTAACAGACCGACTTTATTTATTATGCTAAAAAAAATTTTAAAAAACTTCAAAAGCATGATATACTAGTTGTGTGACATTTTAGCAAGATATTCTAGTTAGGACCTAGCTGAGCTATAAATGTTGAGAACATCCGAGAGAATGACTGCGTACATTCTCTTAAAGAGTCCCGAGTCATGTCGGTCTGTCAACACCTTTTCAACTGTCAGATGAAACAACAACAAAATATGATTTATGGTAATGTGTACTGGAACGTGAGTAATGACAGTTATTCCCAGACGTCTCTTCTCCCGAAGAGGGAGGGGGGTCGTCTGTACGCAGGCTAGCACATAGCTGTTGTTTTATTTTTTTATCACCGCCATGGTCATCGTGGCTGCTTAAGCTTCCTATTATCCCATTCAAATAAAAGTGTTTCTTGTTTCATGATGGAAATTTTCTACTGATTGTATGTGTTATTGATGGTAGGATGAGCATCAGGACTACTGTGAAGAATGTGAAGAGGGTGGGGACTTGTTACTGTGTGACACCTGTACACTGTCTTTTCACTTGCGTTGTCTGGATCCCCCACTTGATGAACCTCCTCAGGGAAGATGGAGTTGTCCTGTCTGTGTAAGTTTTTCTTCCTGTCTGTGTAAGTTTTTCTTTACTTTTATTAGAGGAATCCAGTGTCTGTGGTAGAGCCAAGGAATTTATTAAGAAGTTTCTTTGTTGTAAAATTAAGTTTTGAGTTGTTCAACTTGAGTAGCATGAACAAGGCTTCTGTTCAGTTGGAAGCAATGTGCAGAGTAAACTATTTTATAAGCAATCTAGTAAACTGAGGAACAGCGCTAGGTAAATTCCACTTACAAAGGAGTAGGGTCTGCTGAGGGGATCAGTGCCCCTCTACTTTGTTTTTACCAACGAAGCATGATGCCTCCAGACTTATCCTTAAAAATGGCATGCCGCTAAAACCTCCCCCCCCACACACACACCCCAGACAGAGGTATATATATACAAAGTAGAATCCCGGTAACTAGAACTCTGAAGGGAACTAATAACAGTTCAAGTTAGCAAGTGTTTGAGCTAACGGGGTCGATTGCAAAATTCAATTTAGTGTTTTTACTGATTATACTAAAAGAAGAGTTAATGGGATGGCGTCCGAGTGGAGTTAGAAGGGCCAGAATTCGAGTTATTGAGGTAAATTTCAGTGAATTTTTGATCAAGGGAAATGGAATTTAGTTTGAGGTAGCAGGGAATTCGAGTTATATGAGTGCAAGTTAACCAAGTAAGGAAAACTGAAAAGTGGGGTGAAAACCAAAAAAAATGGACTTAGTTTGAGTTAGTGGGAAGTTCAAGTTCTCCGAGTTCAAGTTGTCAGGGCTCTACTGTACAATGTATACATATCAGCATATTTAAGAATTATTCCTCAAGCCCAAATGGGCTCTGTATTGACTCAGAGGCCACGAGGGCAAGAGGAATATTATTGTTTTAGTAAAATCCAACTAGTTGGTCAAAACAAAACAACTTTAGCTATAAAAACGCGATTCAGCCACCATTGTTTTGGTTTTCAAAGCCAGTGCTTTTCTCTAATAGTCGGCTATAACATTATAGCCTAGTAGTAGTTCAAACAATCAGAATGCAGCATTGATAATACTCACCACTAGTGGGATTTTACTAAATACACATACCGTACAGGGCTCGAAATTAACTTTTCGTTCGGGAGCCAGCTGGCGACTAACGGAAAAATTTTGGTCGCCAGATCGTAAATTTTGGTCGCCAGCTTATTTTATATATAACTTAGACCCTGTTTACATGGAGTGGGGGACCGCAGTCTAGTGGGGTAGGTTTCTTTTGCTTTGTGTCCCCCAGGGCGTGAAAACAAAAGAAACCAACCCCACTAGACCAGGGTCCCCTACTCCATGTAAAGAGGCCCTTACACAAGAACACGATTTTATACGTTACTTTGCGTGCAAGAAAAGTCACAACTGAAGAGCGAAAACAATTAGAAACAACATGAGTAACACTTAGTTATAAAGCTACCGTTGTTCTCAGGTGATATGTCTCAGGTCCGAAGGTGATGGTTGTCTCCATAGTCATTTTAAATGAAGCGAAGCATAAAACGTTTTAAGTCCGTGGTTTTCATTCTGAGACAAACACGGGTCCTTGCGTATTTGCCCTTTGCTACTTCTACGAAATGGCGTTCTTTATTTTCGACTTGCTTTCCTCGACGCCTTTCGCTGCCGACAAACAACGCCATGCTTGGCCCAGGCCACCACATTGCTCGTACCAGTCTCCGACCGGGAGGAAACATAAATGGGCTTAGTGCCGTTTTTAGGTCTTCGTTTCATTTTAGACAGAACGTTGTAGGAAAGTAAAACCTAAAATATTGCGGGAGTTTACGGAAGCACCGCTTGAATTGAATCGCTATCTCCTTACCTTAAAGTATAAAGAAACGTTGTTAAGAACTATTCACTCAGGTACTTTTTCTATTAGTGATAGTTATATCCATTTATTAACCGCCCACTTTCCCTACATCAACAACTGATGAAGGATTCAAAGTTTGGATTAACCTTTTGGCTGAATCTTCATTCCCCGCACGTAAATACTCACGTATTTCCTTCAACTGATTTGTATCTGCCGCCATTTTCGCGGCAAATGAAAAGCACATGATGTTGAAGTGCGCCTGCGATCCCAGTTTCGGAAGAAGCCACGGAAACAATATGGCGCGTCGTGAACGCAGTATCGACGTTTCGAAATACATTCAATTTTTTCGATTATCTTGTAGTATTCAGACATTATTTTACTGGGGACAGAAAGGTGAGTTGGATACTAGCTACCATATCCGATTGATTTCCTAATATAAAGATTTAAAAACAAAAGTTGTGTCGTGGTTTTCTTTAGCCATCGGACAAAACGCGAGTCGCCAGCTGGCGACCGGTTCTGAAAATTTAGTCGCCAGTCCTCAATTTTTGGTCGCATTGGCGACCAGTGAGTCGCAATGTCGAGCCCTGCCGTATAGGGTGGACGCTAATTAGAGGTGGGCGCTTATTAAAATTTCACCATTTCCAGCAAGTGCGGTATGTTTATTTTGCAATAAATGGTAATAACAAAATGCGAAGATGTAACAAAGCAAGGTTCCTGTAAACTACTCTGAAGAAAACTCTGTCTTCGGGGACGTCTCTTACACTGTATTAGTACTTATTCAATTTTGGGGTTGGGGTGTGGGAGCAGGAAGGGGGGTTAGGGTGGGGGTAGTTTGAGTTTGAATGGGAGGAGAGGGGGGGGGGGTGGGGTGTGGGTGCTTATTAACTTTTTCTGCCTTTAGGATGAGCGCTAATTCGAGGTTGGGCGCTTATTTGAGTAAATATGGTATATATATTATATGAACATGACAGAGAATAGCATAGGTAGGAAAGAGCAAGAACAAAACCTGAACTATGTAGGATGTTGTTGATGTAGGTTTTAGACATCATGAAACTTGGTTTTCTCAATTTTGCACATTTTTTTTGTCTGGTATCCAGTCCTTTTTAGTCTGTTCTATTCAGCTTTTTATTCAGTTGAATGGAGAGTCAAAGCAGTAACATCTGCACTTAACTGTGCCTGTATGTTATGTTATCTTGTTCCATTATCCAGGAAGATGAAATGACAAGTGACTCCAGTGAAGACAAGCATAGTGATTACTGCAGAGTGTGTAAAGATGGTGGCCAGTTATTATGTTGTGATAGTTGTCCATCTGCCTATCATTTGCACTGCCTCATTCCACCAATGAAAAAGATTCCTGGAGGAGACTGGAGATGTCCATGATGCAAGGTAGTTATTTTGATTAAAGGTATTATATATGCACATAGTGGTTGGTACATTTTCTGCTTGTTCAATTTATTTTTCTTTGTTTTAAACAAAGTAAAATTGCCCCACTTATTACATAACTTGGCTCTATTCTTGGGTATGAAGCTGCGTACTAGTGTAGATTTTGAGTGACAACTCTGTTTGGTCTTTATAAGCCTTGTGTTCCTGTGCATGTTTTATTTAACTCTTTCACTCCTAAACCATGTTATCGCAAGATTGTTTCATGCTTTTTTGTTTATTTTTTTCCCACTCTTACATTTAAATGTGTGAAAGAAATCCCATATTGTTACCATTGAAATTAAATGTCCTCTTTGGTGAGGGCCTTGCGAAATGGAATTGAGAATTCCTAGGAATTTCCTAAGAATTCCTAGGAATCAAGGTGTGAAATTTCACGGTAATTGGAACATGGAATTCCTAAGAATTCCTAGGAATTCCAAGCTTTGCTCACCCATCAGTTGGCTTGGAAAATATTCCTAGGAATTCTTAGGAATTCCTAGGAATTGAAAGAATATAAACAGAATGATTACTTCTTAGGAATTCCTAGGAATTCCTTGGAATAGCTTAGAATAGCTAGGTCAATAGGGATGTAACAAATCGACCTGCTGCCGGAATTAAGGGATATTCGAATGAAAAACTGATTTGCATTTAAACCCTTATGTTAAGGAAGTTAGTACTAGAAGTTGCTATTTTGCTCTCTGAACCAGAAATCCATAATGCAAATGTACAAAAACTGAAACAATGTTTATTCCAGCAATAACTGAAAAATAGCTCTCCATGTTAACAAAAAAAATACTTCTTCTGCTTTAACTTGACTTAAAAATTTCACTGCAGTGGTCGTTTAACAGTCCGGAATATCCCTAAATTTAAGGACAAGGCCAAACTGGTCACGCGACACTTTTCAACCAATGGGAAGGCGCGCTTGTGTTTATCAACAAACAAATCAAAACATCGCCCCAGTGATCAAAAATTATCAAAACAACGGACGGAGTCGGACAGAATTAAAGATGAGCTTACAGTACTCGTCTAGGATTCACATTTAATATTTCAAAGAAAACATTTCATGTAAGAGAATAAGAGCATTAATCATTGCAAGGAATCATTGGGGTGTTCGAACTGATTTCTGACCGATCGCAGAGGTCGTGGCTTCACTGGCATGGCTTGCAAGATTTTTGATAGAAGCAACTGGTGTCGTGAAAAATAGCCTTAGAGGGAGTGTGAAAATTTGTTGAGATCGTACAAAACAGGATTGGTACTACCTATTAACTTCTACAGGACAAGAATCAAAGAACCAGTCATCATAACAAGAATAGAAAGTAGTTCAAATTTATTAATTTTTCTTGTTTGTTTTTTTGTGTTGTTTCGTGTTGACTTCACGCATCTGGTGCTTTCTTTGCTTACTGTAGTGCCCGCAATATTTTAATTTTATCCCAGATAATCAGTGCATGTTCAATGAGTAGCGAAATACAGCATTTACAATTGAGATTTGCCTTGTTTCTTTGATTGTTTTTTAACGGTGGGTGAACATTTGGAGAATCCAACAACATTAAATCTTTCCAGATTAGTGAATTTCAGAAACTAAGCGGTTAGTATCTACCTTCTGTACCTTACGCTTATGATCTTCAATTTCATCCCCGCAAATTCGGCAAAGTGAGGCGAGATGTTGGACGTGAATATCCATGAGACTAATAAAGTTGTTTTGGCCTTGAAAAGAAAAAAGGCAAAGGCTCGTACTAATGCCAAAAAAAAAGTAATAACACGGCTTTTGTGAGAAACCCGGGAGTGGAAAACGTATGTGTTTTGGACCTCGAAATTCAGAAATTGTCTACCAAAATTTTAGGTCTACCATCCCCACATTCAACATGATAAAAGTTAATCGATAGGACAATCGAGGAAAAATATCTAAAACTTCGTAAAAAGTCTGTGAATCGAAAAAATAATAGATACTTGATCACCTACCTTGAAAACCGACCAAAATCTCTCCTATGCAACGCATTGTTTAAAAGATAAAAGAAGAAATAAGCCACAAAATGTGCTGAATATTTCACGAGACACTTCCAATATGGCTTCCGATAAGCTGTCCACTTAAAAAAATTGTGTGCCTCATCATGAAAAGTCTTAAACATATGCCTGAGAGCCTCGAAATGATGACTGATTCTGTCCGACTCCGTCCGTTGTTTTGATAATTTTTGATCACTGGGGCGATGTTTTGATTTGTTTGTTGATAAACACAAGCGCGCCTTCTCATTGGTTGAAAAGTGTCGCGTGACCAGTTTCAGGGTTCGTACCATTTTTAGAACAAAAAATTCAAGGAATTTTCAAGGACTTTCAAGGACTCATTTCCCATTTTTCAAGGACTCCATTTAGTGCAAAAAAGAGCCTTGAGTCTGCCTTTTTTGGTTCTTCCACAACATGGGCAATTATACCCTGATAGGTCTTTCTGTGTTTGCTCCTTTTAGAACCTTGAGAATCTGTATTGGATAAAGTTAACACCGAAATTCAAGGACTTTCCAGCACCGACTACAATTTTCAAGGACTTTCAAGGCCTTGAATTTTTATTTTGAAACTCAAGGACTTTCAAGGTGCGTGCGAACCCTGCAGTTTGGCCTTGTCCTTAAATTTAGGGATATTCCGGACTGTTTAAATGTTTCAAAAATTACAACAGTGACCTCAAAAAATCAAATTTAAGACAATGACTTTTTGTGAAGTACGAATCAAATAATTCAGTATAATGACTGCAGTCCTTATATACATATGAATAAACTTAGATATAGATATACTTACACATAGATATACATGTAGTGTAAAGTAAACTATCGCTATAGTCATGATTGAAAAAAAAAAGAAAGTAAAACATGACCTGTTCAGGTGGAATCTCTAGATAGTGAGATAATGTAAAGTAACATATACCTAGTCATGATTGAAAAAAAAATATAAAAACATACCCTGTTGGTGGAATCTCTAGAAAGTGTTTGTTTTTAATCCAAATGACAACATCAGCTGAATATTCTCTTTTTCGTAATTTATTTTACCCAACATACACATCACCACATTCCACATACATGCATGTAAATAAACATCTTCGAATAATTAATACAGTGCATGAATATGAAAAAAAGCTAAATGACTGCTTTTTCCAATGTCGCCGATGCAGCCCTCTGAACTGAAGGTCCACACATCAGGCAAGTGCTAGTGCTAGTTGTTTTTGACCTTACTATTGCAGCGATTATTAAGATTTACATGTACCACAAGCATTTAATATAAAACCTTATGCAACTTATACTATGAATTAAAGTTCAAATGAACAAACCTACCGGCTGTATTCTAATATTTTATAAGTAAGTTCAAGTCTCAAGTCCTTATAAATTAACTGGAAATTTCATTGCTTCTTACTTGTATAAGTAGCCATTGGAAACTTTCTTATGCTATTTCTTCTCCTATTTTATCTAACATTGGTCTTGACAAGTCTGCTATAACCTTGTAGCGCCAGAACATACAGTTTTCAGAGTATTCCACTGACTACTTGCAACAAAGAGCACAGTTATTTCGATCTGCAGTAAACAAAAAGCAGCAAAAAGGGATCTGATCAATGGCATATCTTTGCATGCATCTTTGAACTTTATAAGCTTATTTACGCAAAGTTATTAGAAAACATACCTTTCCACATTAATCCAGCTGAGTAAACTCACTTACAAACATGCTTTATGTGAACACAAACTTCGCAATTGATAAATTTGTCTCGAAAATAACATGGATAATAGAAAGACAATCTCACGAAACTACTTTGTTGCTTGTGAAGTCCGCGTGAATTTGAACTATTCAACGGAAGTTCATTTGGCACTTTTCTATTGGTTCAAAAGTCGCACGTGACAAAGTAAATCAAATCGCGCATGTGCCAAAGGCACGCGTGGAAGCCTGGGAAACAAGAAAACATGGCGGCTAATCTTGCGACGTGCTCCCGTTTGGGTCGAAATAGCAGTTATTTTCAACGACAGCTATTTTCAACGTTAATTAAGGTGAAGCAACGCAGTTGAAGTGTTAAAAGCAAGAGGTAAACTTAACGTTGTTCTTTCAAGTTGGGAAAGAAAATGTGGGACCACATTATCAATCAAAGAACTGCCACGAAAAACGTGTTGTGGCCGTTGTTCCGGGCTTGGCCTGGCTTGCCGGTAGTTCCGAAAACGAAGCACTCGAAAACGAAGACCGAAGCACGAAGCACCCAAAACTCGAAAACGAAGCACCCAAATCTCGAAAACGAAGCACCCAAAACTCGAAAACAAAGCACCCTAGATCGAAAACGAAGACCCCTAAATCTCGAAAACGAAGCACCCTAGATCGAAAACGAAGCACCCAAATCTCGAAAACGAAGACCCCAAAACTCGAAAACGAAGCACCTGAATCAGGTGGAGGAAGCGGATGCGTCCGCACCTCCAAAGGTCCACAAAATCCATCCCAAGGTTTTATAACAGCCTAGCCACTGTTTAACTGAACTTTTCTAGATAGGATATACTGTATTAATTTTATTATTGGTCTCGCTATACTTGATACATCTTACCTTAATATGCATTTTTTCGGTACACATACATGTTTATGTAGACTTCAAAACTGTCCGTCAGCAGATTTTGGCGTATTCAAGTACGCGTGAGCAGTAACACAAAAGGTCTGAAACAAGGCTGAAAACGGAGTGTGAGGCTCGCGCGTATTACTCTTACGGCACGCACGCACGCATGGACCTTCCACGCAGCGGCGGAAATGCATTTACAACTTGAGTAGATTTGAACTGCATTCGATTCGTTATCGTGCTTGATTCCTGCTGTATTAGCATTGGTCTCGTGTTTATAAAGGACAGACCGGTGTCGAGTTTTTGGGTGCTTCGTTTTCGAGTTTTGGGGGCTTCGTTTTCGAGATTTAGGGGTCTTCGTTTTCGATCTAGGGTGCTTCGTTTTCCAGTTTTGGGTGCTTCGTTTTCGAGTTTTGGGTGCTTCGTTTTCGATATTTGGGTGCTTCGTGCTTCGGTCTTCATTTTCGAGTGCTTCGTTTTCGAAACTACCCTGGCTTGCCATGCTTTTGACTGCACTCCTGATGCAAGGGGACAGCCCATGTCTTGTGCGTTTGTCTAATTTCCGTGGAGTATGTGGATAAACAACGTACATTTCAGACTGGAAATGTACTTCATATTTTTAAAAACGAGACTTCTCATTTCAGACAACATTTTGCACTGAAAGTGTACTGGACATGTAACAGCTTTAAATATTTATTGCTGTAATATGCTGTAATAATGTAATTTAGATCAGTTAAATATTGTTATCTTAAGTTTAATACTGGTTGGAGGTTTGTGAACAGCATTCGCCACATGTCAGCATTTAACCAGATTAGGTAAAAAAATTGGGTTGAATATAAAAATGTAAGTATAGAAGTATACATTACCAGTATGTTCTGTATTATAAGTTTAGAATTGTTTCAGTGCAATCACTTAAAATTAAAATGTGAAAAAATAAGAAAAGACTACGAAATCTTCTACAATTTTTAAAGTCTTTCTGATTTTTAAACATCCCTGAGCTGAATTCCTAATTTGCATAACTTAGAATTCCTAGGAATTCCCAGGAATTCCAAGCGCAGTTGGCCTGAATTTTTCTATTCCCAGAAATTCTCAACAAAATTGTAAAACTTAGAATTCCCAGGAATTCCTAGGAATTCCAAGCCTAGAGTGAGACCTAATTTGCCATTCCCAAAAATTCTCAAGAATTCCAAGCTTATTTGATGAAGGCTGATTTGCATAGTTGGGAATTTTTGGGAATTCCTAGGAATTCCCAGAAAGCTGGGAATTCATTTCGCAAGGGGGTGTGGGTGCTTATTAACTTTTTCTGCCTTTAGGATGAGCGCTAATTCGAGGTTGGGCGCTTATTTGAGTAAATGTGGTATATATATTATATGAACATGACAGAGAATTGCATAGGTAGGAAAGAGCAAGAACAAAACCTGAACTATGTAGGATGTTGTTGATGTAGGTTTTAGACATCATGAAACTTGGTTTTCTCAATTTTGCACATTTTTTTTGTCTGGTATCCAGTCCTTTTTAGTCTGTTAATTCTATTCAGCTTTTTATTCAGTTGAATGGAGAGTCAAAGCGGTAACATCTGCACTTAACTGTGCCTGTATGTTATGTTATCTTGTTCCATTATCCAGGAAGATGAAATGACAAGTGACTCCAGTGAAGACATGCATAGTGATTACTGCAGAGTGTGTAAAGATGGTGGCCAGTTATTATGTTGTGATAGTTGTCCATTTGCCTATGCCTATCATTTTGCACTGCCTCATTCCACCAATGAAAAAGATTCCTGGAGGAGACTGGAGATGTCCACGATGCAAGGTAGTTATTTTGATTAAAGGTATTATATATGCACATAGTGGTTGGTACATTTTCCCCTTGTTCAATTTATTTTTCTTTGTTTTAAACAAAGTAAAATTGCCCCACAAATTACATAACTTGGCTCGATCTATTCTTGGGTATGAAGCTGCGTACTAGTGTAGATTTTGAGTGACAACTCTGTGTGGTCTTTATAAGCCTTGTGTTCCTGTGCATGTTTTATTTAACTCTTTCACTCCTAAACCATGTTATCGCAAGATTGTTTCATGCTTTTTTGTTTATTTTTTTTTCCACTCTTACATTTAAATGTGTGAAAGAAATCCCATATTGTTACCATTGAAATTAAATGTCCTCTTTGGTGAGCGTTGTCCAATCCACACTAATTACTAGAATCTACTGGAAACACAAATAGATTTCAACAGACTCCCTTATTTCTACTCGTAGAAAATGTAAAAACATTTTAATCATGACTTGTGTAGTGTACCCTTGCGAAATAACTTTTGGAATTCCTAGGAATTCCTAGGATAACTTACCTCAAGTCATGGCTTAATGAATTAGTTGTAAATACATGTGTAGGGTTCTTGTCTCAGGTCATGGCTTAAAGAACCAGATATTTCACATCAAGTAGACTTTCAGTGATTCAAGAAATTGGGCACAACTATTGCACAGTACTATTCATTTTAGGGGACTTACCAATAATAAATTTTTTTGAGGGGGAAGGATATTTTTGGCTACTTTTTAAAAGGGTTAATCTTGTTATGTATAGTACGTTTTTTATTACACTTCCATTGTTTGCTCTCAGAGTGAGCCATTGAAAGGCAAAGTTGAGAGAATTCTTCACTGGAGATATGTTAACCTACCATTTGAAGGTAAGTATTCCATTTTGGACATTGTCTTTGTAAAGAGTTGCTAGTAGCTCATGTTTCTACCATATTATTTCTTGTCTACTGAGAATTTAATGTGCGACAAATGCAGACTGCAGACTTTAAATACAGGACTGGCAGATTCAAGTCTTGTTATATTTATATGAAAATGGGACAGTTTCATGAGCATTTCGCAATGTTGTTAACTTGCCAATCTGCAGTCTGCAATTGTTTCACACTGCTCAGTAATGCACTAGGTGCAGTTTTGCTGCTTCATTAGAGGACCTCACAATTTGCTATGAGTATGAGTACTACAACTTTTGTCTAATATATACATCTCTAATGTATTCTTCAATAATCAGCTCTATCTATAGGCCAGCAGAATAAAGGAACCAGATTTCTGGATACATTGCTGGCTTTAAAATTCAAAATTTTTACTAAAGCTTAATGCCTTAATGTTCAGTAATACTTCTGCTTAAACCCATTCCCAAAGACGGCGGGGTAGCTGTTCAAAGAGAATACTCATGCATGGTAGCATTACAGGCAATTTTTAAGAACACTATTTCAGCTCTTAGCTGGCACCCACTCTTACCACACCAATACTAGAAATGTCATCAGAGGTACAATCAGCTCTCACTAACACTGTTACAACTCTCTAGAAAACAGGTGTCCCCCTTAAACATATAGAGTGAACGAAAAGAGCTAAAGAATGACAGGGAGTAACTCAGGGTGTCTGTTTTAGAGAGGTGTTCATCTTGTAAGTCAGGTTTTGGGTAAGAGAGTGGACAAAAGTAAATCCAAATTTTTCTGCAACCAGTTTTGCAAGACTGCATGAGGGTGCAGATCCCTATGTAACTTACAACAGTTTCAGTTATATAGTATTCTGCCTTAATTTGCTCCGAGTCCGTGGGTTTCCAAGTATGAGTGATATTTAAGGTACATGTGGGTAAGTCTCATACTGATACATTTATAACATTGTTTTTGCAGATGCTGTGCTCAAGTCTGGTGATACTGGAGAGCTGACTGAACCAGAGGTATGCCGCCTTGTGGCAGTTACCTTGTTAACTTCAGTTCAGTTAATCTGTTTAATTTTAGGATCAAGTTTTAAATAAGAAGATCCACAAGCCATGCTGTTTATTCAGTCTTGGGAGTCTGTGTGGACTCCCTGTGCATGTAGCTAACTGAAGAATTTATTTTACAGACTTTAAATATGAAACTCAAGAGTTTTTTGTCAAGTGGTTGGATATGTCATACTGGCATTGCTCATGGATCACAGAACTCCAGGTTGGTCTCTGCATTTACTGTATGTTCTGTTGAATGAGAGGATGTGTAGTTTTACAGGGGCGGATGTAGGAGGAGGGTGCAGGGGGCTCCCCCCTCCAGCCAAGATGAACTGTGTGTTTCTTAAATTAGCACTGTGAAGTCCGCTTCACAGTTATTTAAAATCCGCTGTATCCATGGTCTGCACGGGCCTTGAAAAGTCCTTGAAAAAACATCATGTCCTTGAAAGTCCTTGAAAATTGAAAAATAGTGGGATATCCTTGAAAAGTCCTTGAATTTTCCACAGAAGTCGTTGAATATTATTGAAAGCTCCTTGAATAAAAATGACCTTCAGTAAAGAAAAAAAATAGTGTTTTGTGCAAAGGAATGATTAAAGCACAGCATTACACAAATTTTCTTGGTGGTCATGCAAGTGTTTTCTTATGTTTTCAGTGTTCCAAGCATAATTCATTTTCCATTATTTGAATTAGCCTACGAACTGTATTGCAATAAGCCAACACCCCTCCACCTACGCATTGTAAAGGTCTTTAATCATGTTATTGGGGAAAAGAAGTCCTTGAAAATATGATTTTAGTCCTTGAAAAGTCCTTGATTATTTCCCAAATAATTCTGTATGAACCATGTATATCGTTTTATATGTATTCGCAGCAGTTCACATTATGTTACTGCCTAGTCAGAAGCCTTCTTCTTCATATTCGCTTTTAAAATTTGTTTACGTCACCGAACAGTACTGTTATACCATTCCATAGTAGTGCACCCATCCTGGATCTGCCCCAGTGTATAAACTATAATTAAGAGTTGGGAAGGGAGTCGTGCAGACAAGGATCAGTAAATTACCAGGCAATGAGCAGTCTCACACATGCATGGGCATTGTACATGTATGTTGTAAGGGGCACAAGTAGTCCCATTTTGCCCAGATTTTCTACAGGCCACAGTTGATCAAGTGGTGGATAGCAGCATTCACTGGATAAAATCTCTATCCAGTCGATTAATGTAATTGGTTTCCCTAATAGTTCTCCACTGGATTTTGATATATCCAGTGGATAAGATCATCTTTCAATAGCCAGCATTGTATCTCAAGTAAGTTTAATTGGCTATACAATACACTGCATTCAATTAACTCATTCAGCTGGGTTTTTTGAGCAAAATATCAGGTAATTTGTAAATTACACACTTAATCAGGTACACCATAATCACTTTTCAGCAGTGGTGAAAGTGGAGACAGAGGTCAAATTAACATGTAAACATCAACAGTTTTTATGTCTTGCATTATTTTTTAGTTGGAGATTTACCATCCCAGCATGTACCGAGCATATTTCCGTAAAAATGACATGGAGGAACCTCCGCCCATTGATGATGGCGATGAAGATGAGGAAACACCAGCACATGTGATACAGAACAGCAAGGCAGAGGATGAGAGTAATCTTGAGGCCAGATTTTACCGATATGGAGTACGGCCAGACTGGTTACAGATTCATCGCATCCTGAGGCATAGGTTAGTATTACAGGCACGCCGGGCAGGGTTCGTCAGAGTGCACAGTGAGGGGGGAAAATTCTGGAAACCTGTAACCCTGACAGGGTTTTAGTAAATGTATCTGAGGCAATTTTATTCTTGAGAACAATAGCTCTTGTTTCTTCAAGTCATTGAGTCCTGATTTGCTTTGATTTTTAGAACTGTTTAACCCTTAAAGTTCAAGAGTGACCAACATGAATTTTCCCCTCACAAACATCAATACAGTATCAAAAGTAAAGGTTAGGAGGTTTGATAAAACGATCACCTCAGGGAAAATGCTTTGATGTTTTATCAAATTATCTCAACTAATTCTTTAAGGAAATCTATGTAGACCAGTTTGGAGAATTTGTAGGTGGATATTGGGGCTTAAAGGGTTAATGCCCTTTCATTGTTAGATTTTCTTGAAGTAAATACCATGCAAAGTAAGTCATCTGCATGCAAAGTAAGTCATCTGCATGATCTGTTTGATGAGAACACTTAACAATTATTCTTTGAAATCGAGGTGAATAGTGGCAAAATATTTACCGAGCCGCGAAAGCGGCGAGGTAAATATTCCCAAAGCCACTATTCACCGAGATTGAGAAGAATAATTGTTTTAGTATATACACACGAAGTGATCTCAACAAAATCAGAAAGGAAACCATTCAAAAGTAGGATTTGATTGACAGATCAAATCACGCGTAAGTTTAAAAATAGATCTTTGCAGAATTTTCAAACATGGCAATTCACAAGTTTACTCATTGCGCAAACAACAGCGTAATGGCTTCAATGGAATCGCTAAAAGTTTGAACTGTTTCGTTACCTGAGAAAAAAAATAGTTTGTTTTCTGTTGACTCGCCAAGTTTATAGCCAAAAGGGCATGTTGTGTCGTTCTTCGCATGAAGTGCTGACAAAAATGGCGGCTCGGTTGCTCGAGGTAAGAGGTCGTCTTCCTGTATCATTCTTTTTCCTGTTTACTTGAAATGTAGAATTTCTGCAAACATTTCCTTTTAAATTTGTTTGTCATAAATAAACTTCGATTTTTGAGCCAAAATTTTCTTCTTGGAAAACGCTGAGTTCACGAAACGGCTTCTTCTACGCGAATACACGGGAGTTGTAAACAATCCATCGAGCACAAAACTCCTGCTACAGTAAATTGAAAAACGCCGTATTGAATCCTTCCAAGTCTTTTCTTGCCTTAAAAAAGTCAGCCCTAGGATTTTGTCGACTTTTAAAAGATCGTTCTCTAAAAAAAAAGGGAAAAACACCGAGCTCACACATTATCCACTCGCTAGGAGGTGAATATTGTTGAATAGTCCGAGATAGCGAACCAATCAGATTGCTTAAATCACCAAGATCACTGAGTGTGTATATACTAATGAATGATAGTCCAGAATATGGCAGATAGACTAATAATTCCAAATTTTATGCAATGGCATGGTTATAGAGCAGCGAAGAGATGACAACACTAAAACTAGTTTCAAGAAATTACTGGATTTGGTAGTAAGAACTGGCCATGAGCCAAACGTCTGTTAGTTATAAGAGCAAAATTGCTGGTGAGATACCAGCAAAACTATGCTATGATAACTCCATATGAATCCTTCTAAAATTAAGCTGCCTCTGAAATTTTACCATACAGGTCAATAAAAGGATTTATTTAGACCAATTTCTCTAACCAGATGGACAGTTTTCATCTTGTTCTTACCCATGTCTCATAGATCACAAATTCAAATTTTCGTGAAGTCATACTTGTTGCTGCGCAGCGACCGAAGGGAGCGAGCAGCAACATAATCAGGATTTAAAGGAAATATATAAAGGGGCGACGAATTCTCGAATTCATCACTTTTTACCACAATGCATTGCATTTAACCAGAGTGCATTGCGCCACAAACAACTCAAATAAAAACACGGGGAAGTTCGGTGGGAGTGCGTCGTTCGCGGCTCAGACTTAGAGTTTTCCTTGTGGCAAATTTTCTACAGCACGGTTAGAGGACTTACCAAATTTTAAGACATGCAGGAGTCTTTCAGATGAGTACGATGGTTAACTTGGGGATTGGATTTCAATTCAAGAGCCTTTGACTCGTCCAGGTGTTAAACCTGACGAGAAGATAAGCATTTGCTCTTCGACTACGCAACACGGGGGATATACAAATTCCAGCTTGCTAGAAGGTGATGTGAAAGTGAGAAAATGTCATGCAGTGCTATTCTTAAGAAACTGTATGAGCCAAAAATGGATGTGATTTTGACCATTCGCTTCAAAATAACAATCGAGAATAACAAAACATATGTTTTGTGTCCTACTTTGCAGACGAGGACGTGTATCGCCGTTTTGAAAAGCATAATTATGTTCTTTCATTCATTCATTGCCATGGAATATGCGTTTACATCGTTTTTTCACTGTTAATAGCTCGGTTAATGCGGCTGGCGATTATCTTGCCGGCGGAAGTTTCATGGAAAAGGAATAAAATCAAGACTTTTCCTGCAATTCCGTAATCAGCCACTGTGGTGTAGTGGTTAGGTATAGTGGCGTCGAGCCGGAGGTGCAGGGTTCGAGTCCTACCGAATTCTTTATTCCTTCTTTCTTTTTTTTTCCCGTTTTTTGTGTTGTTGTTTTCTATAAATATATAGCTAAATAACTGTTACTTAATAAAGTGCAACAAACAGCAAGAAAAGTATTGTGTTTCCAGAAAAAATATCGTGCACCATATATTAAATATATGGATAAACAATCTGAATTTTTTATTATTTCCTACAATTTACTGTGGGAAAACCAGAGTTATAACCACTTGATCATTTTCTAAACAACGTTCCCACGAGTTCTTTCTATAGACTGATAGTTAATTATTCTAGTACTTTCCAACATGTAAATAGGACATTCAATATCATTTTCGACTCTTTTAAGTCTCACTGCCTAACTAATGCCAGTATCAACAGAATGTGTCGCAGCATTACTATCTTTTAGATACCCTAGTCTACACTATTTTCTAATCGAGAAAGACAGTGTTCGTGCTGCACAGTGGTGTCATTAATTTGACAGTGTGTATGTACCACATTCTTTTTTTTTTTTATCTGCACAGGGTACCCAAGCAGTCAAAAGAAGAGTTCCTTATTAAATGGCGAGATGTTCCATACAATCAGAGCACCTGGGAAAGGCCAGATGATGCTGTTAATTCTCAAATAAGGTTGGCTAAAAGACCATTTTACATTATTGTAAGGCCTGCTTAAGAGCTAGTGGTTATGTCTGTTGTTTGTATTTCAAATACCATCATTTTTGTCTTTTGAGGAGTAGGTCAAGTTCCTTTGGATATTTAACCCATCCCTAGTCGTTTGTCGCCTTTTTATCTAATCTTATGTTGGTATTTTAACCCTTTAGGTCCCAAGAGTGATAAACATCAATTTTCTCCAAACAAAATCAGTACATAATCAAGGGAAAAAGTTATGAGAACTGGTTAAAATGATCACCGAAGGGAAAATGCTTTGATCTTGTATCAAATTCTCCCGATCAATTCCTTAAGAAAATGTATAGAGAACAGTCTGGAGAATTTGTATGTGGACATTAAGGCTTCAAGGGTTAAGGCCATGTAGCTTTTTTGGAATTTTACTCCAACAGGGTCTCAGCTGTGGGCTTAGTACTGTAGCCTTTGATTAAATGTAAGGCTGAGGTTGACCTTGCTTGGTTACAAACCTCCTTTGATTTCTTATGCTTGCAAAATACTAGTTTACCCGTGAAGTGCAAACATATTTCCGGTTGTCGCTTC